GGCCCTCAGTGGGAACCTCCTCCGGCTCTAGCATCTGCCTGCCACCATGGTCCCTCCCAGAGGGTGTCTGAGGCCAGGGAGAGGGAGGGTAGGGCCTGGCCTCTCCCTGCCTGGGGCACACAGCTCTGGCTGAGAGCGCCCCAGGAGCAGCAGAGGCCTGGGCCGGAACCACTGTGGTGCTTCTGCTCTGGGTCCGGCCTCACTGGCTCCTGGAAGCCCGACCCCCTCCTCACAGGTCTCCTGGGCGCAGCCAGAGCTGGGTTCCCAGATGCCATCTAAACTGGTCTGGCCCTCCGCTTTAACATTCTCTTCCACTAGTCGCAGATACTAAGAAAAATACCATGTCTCCGCCTTGAGTTCTGTTATTTTCCCTTCCATTGCCCTTCTTTCCTTCTCCCAAGGACCTAAAGAAAAAGACATTAGGAGGAAAAGGGTGGAGAGAGGCTTTCATACTCCTTGCTGGCTAAACCCCATGGAGGCTTTCGTGGAGGACGCTCACCCTTGACAGCTTCCCTGACCCTCTGACTGCCTGCAGCACTGTGGGCAGCCCGGCTTGTGCCTTCTTGGACATGTCTGAGTGGCCCTGATGCCCACCCTGGAGTGGCAGTGCCTGAGGGCAGAGAACAATGCTTGCCATCTCCTCCCCAGCTTGGCAAAGTTCCTGCCACTGGGGACATGTGTCCCTGACCAGAGACAGCTCATCCCCTCAAGTTGGGCAACTGAGGAAAGTTGGACAGGGGTTCTTTACAACAACTTGGGTGGCAAGTAGGAGACCATGCCTGCTTGGTGCTAGTCAGGACAGGCCGCCAGTCCCACTGCAGGGGATGAAGTTTCAGGGTGCTTATCTGGTTTTGTTAAGCCTTAACTGGCCAGGGGGCAATCTCCAAGACCCCCAAACTGAAGTCCAGTTTTGTAAAACCCTCAAAACAGGATACCCCAAAACCAAGCCAGGAAAAAATCATCTCAGACCATAGACATCCTTAGTTGCTTCTGGCTGAAGAAGTGGCAAAACTCCCCTGGACCACAGACCACCAAAAGTTACCACAGAGAAAAGAATCCCCAGGAAATATTCAGCCCTGAGAGGCGTGATTAAATATGGTTTGACCGGTTATTTTTATAAAGAACTAAGGTCCTGGGGCCACCCCTGGTGGCGCACAGGGTTAAAGTGCAGCGCTATGAAGCTATCCTCAGCCACCGAGGCACGAGCTGGATCCCCTGGCAAGGGAGCTGACCTACAGGGTGCTGACCCACAGGCCTCTCCTGTCTTGCCCGCTGCTCCCCTCAGCAGTGTATTTCAGTCTGCCTGTTCTGCTCCCCACTCTGTCTCTAGTGAATCGTCTCACTCCTCCCCACCTCTGGCCTGTACCCCAGTTTTTGTATGCATAAATAAAAAAGAAAGAACAAACTAAGGTCCTCATAAGACCAAAAAATATTATCAGAGCTCAGTGACCACAAGGGTCACTCCACTCTTGCGCACCTCCTCCCAGAGTGTGGAAAGTCCTAGAAGCCCTTGTGGCTCAGAGGGGCTTTCTTCGGTGGCTGTTTCCCTTTCTTCTGAGTCCCCTTCCTCCTAACTGGACACTGTTAGGGTAGCTCGGGATTTTCTCTTTTCCCTCCTTTCTTCAGCACTTTCTCTGCAGTAGCATTAGTTTTAGACACCTCTCCTGAGCCACATCTGAAGCCTTGGTAAGGATTGTGCCTTACTTCTTGTTCATTTGCTACTGGCAGATTTTTTGAATTTTTGCTGAAACCATTTTTGGGTCATTTTATAAGGGATGGGAGGAGGGAGAACCCATGATCCTGCTTCCTTCAGCCATGTCTTCTCGTGTGTCCACGTTGATGTTTCCTTTGATCTCATACGGGCTTCCAAACTCTGCACTGACTAGTTCAGCTGGAGCAACCCTAGAGGAAGTGGTGTTTGCTACTGTTGATTTTAAGGGTTTTATTTATTAGTAGCTTTTATTTAAGAATATCATAGCATATCATTCCGTTCTTTCTAAATTTTCTATAATATTTGCTAATAAAAATTACAGATAGATAATCTGACAGTACTGGTTGGCAAAATCATCCTAAAACATAGACTTAATTATCATCATGGTAAATGTTCAAGTATTCACTTCTCAATGCCGAGTGAGACCTCTGGAAAAATGTCAGGTCTGCACTCAGCATCCCTGCATCTGCCATTTTTTGATTGAACTAAATTTAATGTTGGAGCTATCAATCAGCAACCAGCCAAGAGATAGAAATCACACAAGTAAATTGAACAAAGAACATCTACTAGATGTAGACATAACAACCCAAGGAGAACCTTAAAGAATACCGGGGGGATAGCAGGTGTGGGGAGGCTGAACACCCAAGAAGGAGTGGGGGGCTGGCTGGGAAACACTCACAAGGCAGATTCCCCCCCTGTTAGATGGGGTATTGTCCCATCGGTGGGCTCCGTGGAATAGCTCCCCTGCAAATATTTGTTGAATGCATTATCTGTATACAGGGAGAGGAGGTAGCATGGTTCTTTCTTGGACTGAAAATGGAGTCAAATTAGAGTAAAGAAGAGAAATTCAGGGTGTCAAAGGAAAGTCTGTGAGCTACTTGCCATAGTCATAGGCTGCAGTGACGATTCACAAAAGTGGCTCTGTTTGGTTCCAGACATTAGAAAGGTACATAAAAACTGCCCCTTGCCCCAATGCAGTTCTTTCAACCACTCCTTCCTACCAATTGAGAATTTTCAAGAATCCCATGGCTTGGGTGTGGGGAAGCAGAATACTGGGAATTCAGCCAAAATAAAATAATACCAAAAGCAAAGGCCATACTAACATCAAAAGTGAGTATGTTGCTTTGGGAGACTTCACATTTCACATGATCCAGGGACACACAGGCAGGAGGGCCACTATGTCCTCTTCACCTGCCCATGGGCTGTGCAATGTTGTATTCAGGGAGATTTTCAACTTTCAGGCTTTGACGTGATGCTCATTCCCTGGCCTGGGACTCACCAGTGAGCGGCCAGCACCTCCTTTCTGGATGCTGGGGGCAGGGAGGGGGGGTGGCTCCTAGGAGCCCAACCTCAGGAGGTAGACCCCGGCGGGAAGGGCCTCTGCTGACCTCACACGTTCACAGAAACCCATACCCGAGGAGTGGGGGGCTGGCTGGGAAACATTCACAAGTCAGATTCCCACCAACACCAACCCCTCCACGGAGAGGAATGTAGCTATGGTACCCTGTGAGTTCAGCTGAATGTTCGGCCACATACTTGTCTGGGCGCTGTTTAATGTTTATTTTTCCTTTCTCTTAATAGTTCCCTCATTTCTATATCTATATTAGCAGGTCCACATTCTGTATTGAATGCTACCTCAAATGCATCTTTGCCGCAAAAGGATGTCATTTAGCCAGCCGGATGAATAAATGCCAGACCATCAAAGACGGCTCCACAGACTAGACCAGTCAGAGAACAAAGTAAAACAGGAGATGACCATATACAGTTCTCAGTTTTTCAAGTTCCTTTTCTCAGTTCATCCTTCTCCCCAAACCCCCAAACCCAGCCCTGACGGGTCCCTCTTCCCCTCTCCCTCACTACCTCCTCCCACCACTGCAAATCTGGGTTCTTCTCTCTTTAGCTCTAGACTCAACCTTCCGCACCCTCAGCCTCAGGAAGGAGCTGTTCCTCTCACTTCTCTGCGCCCTTACTTGACGCTTCTATGTCTTCACCTTGGAATTTTCCTGTTTCTTTTCCCCTTCTCAGAGCTGGGTCGGCCCCTCACAGTTTACTTAAGTCCCTGTTTTCCTTGCTACCAATTTCTCTCATATTTTACAGCAGCCTCACCCTCACTGGCACGAAGTCCCCACCTCTCAAGCCCCCTGCCCAAGCGGCATCACTCTGCACCCCCACTGTCCCCAGATCCTCCCCCCATTGACCCTCAGTCCAAGTACACAGTGCAATAAAAACCCAGACACACTGCTCACCAGTGAGCTCCTGCCTAACGCTGGTTCCTCACATCAGAATCCCTAGTCACTATGCAACATTTTGGACAGCTGTTGCCTACTTGGAGCGTCCCTGTCAGAGTGCCTCCCCGTCTCTCCCTCCGTATCACAGCAGAGCAGAAGCAGCTCAGTTCCCTTATCTAGGGCAGGCAGGAGGACGGCTATCTAAAGCCATGGGGAAATCAAAGGCGGGGGATGGGAGAAGCAAGTAGGAAGAAAAACAACTTTTCTTTCAGCGGCTGAAGAAATACTGAGGGCTTGGGGGAACTTTCAAGTTGCTTTATTTCGGTGAGTTCCCAGAGAACTGTGACTGATGGGCAGACCCACCAGGGGAATAAACGGTGGTTTTCTGGCGCTTCGCTGGACCCGTGGGTCAGGGCTGTTGTTCAGAAGGAAACTGACTCTCAGCTGGCTGGGCCATTCCCACCACAGTGTGGATGGTAGGTCAGGAGGCTGTACCCTCCCCTGGGAACTCATCCTAAGTGGTCAGTCATTCATGTGTTTCCTCAGTTATGTCTGATGATGCCGAGGGTGGTTTCACTTTTACAAACATTTGTTTACTTACTTTCCGAGAACGCAGAGCCCAGCCTGTCGCAGCAAACGGTCTCGGTGGTAAGCAAACTCTTCAGACATATGTAAAAATTGTGACCTGCGACTATTTCTTGAATCTAGCCCGGGTGATTTGTTCTCTTCACGACTGAGTTTTCACACACGCTGCCTTCAGGTGAGCAAGCCTCGTCCCTACCCAGAGAATGTGAGCCCCGTGAGAAGTGCCCTGCCTCTGGGGCAGCACAAGGTACCCAGTGCATCTGGGGGGGTGTGGGGGGGATGGTGGCCACTGCCCCCCGGCAGTAGGGTATGGGAGAGAAATGTTTATTCTTAGTCTTCTCGGCTGTAGACCTATTCTGGGCGAAATGAAGCACCAGCCGAGGGAAGCTGTAGCTGCCAGGACAGTAGTGTAGGCTACTGCTTCCTCTTCAGCTTCGTGGAAGGAAAACCACCTCCCCTCTCTCCACAGGGGGCCCGGTGATGGCCAATTACACATCAGCACAGGACGAGTATGACGAGTATGACGTGCTCATAGAGGGGGATCTGCCGGATGACCTCGAAGGCCTCCAGACCACATCATGCGCCCCCTATGACACCAGGAGCCTCCCTGTGGGGCCGGTGCCACCGCTCTATGCTGCCTGCGGCGTGGCCGGGCTCCTGGGCCACACCGGGCTGGCGTTCATCCTGGTAAAATGCAAAGGACTCAGACACATGGAAAACATCTATTTCTTAAACTTGGTTATTTCTAACTTGTGCTTCTCGCTCGTCCTGCCTTTCTGGACTCTCACCGCCTCCCACGGGGAGATCCTCAACGACCCCATGTGCAAGATCCTGGCTGCACTCTACTCTGTGGGCCTCTACGGGGAGGTGCTTTGGAACACCCTCCTGGCTGTGCAGCGGTACCTGGTGTCTTGCAACGTGCGAAGGATTTCCACAGCTGCCAGGCTGCCCTGCCGCATCATGACAAGTGTCCTGGCCTGGGGCACGGTCATTCTATTCACGCTGCCTGAATTCATGCTTTACACATCTCAGGAGGGAGGTCAGAAAATCCAGTGCTCCTTTTATGGGACTTCATTCCTGCCAGCAGATGAGCCATTCTGGAAGAAGTTTCTGACCTTAAAGATGAACATTTTGGGATTTCTTTTTCCACTGTTTGTTTCTCTAAGTTGCTACCTACTGACATGCCAGGAGAGGAGAGACAATCTTTTCAAGCTTGTTTTTGCCATAACGGTTGTTTTCCTTCTGATGTGGGGACCCTACAATATTGTGCTGTTCCTGGCTACTTTCAAAGAATACTTCTCACTGCATGGCTGCAGAAGCACCTACCTCCTGGACAGAGGTGTCCAGATAACGAAACTCCTGGCCACCTCCCACTGCTGTGTCAACCTGCTCCTCGTTGTGCTTTTGGACAAGACAGTTAGGCAACACCTCTACAGCCTCTGCCCTTGGTGTGGCAGCACTCTGACTGGACACCCCCAGGCACCCGAATACGACTCGCCACAGAGAGAACACAGGTGTTCCTCTGAAGTTTAAACCAGCCCTTCAGAGGCAGGATAAATAAACATTGATTTTTGTCTCGTTAAATTGCTTCATTAATTGATTTTGACACATGTGCATATAAAGTAGGATACAGGAAGAAACAGGGCAGGGGAAGGACAGCATCGACTGTCCCAGGCACTGTGCTAGGCTCCTTCACACCTCACCACTTGTCCATGGAATGCATGGAATTATCCTCCTTTCTCTGAGGGGGTAACTGAGACTCCAAATTCTTCTAAGACCACAGAGTTAAAAAGTACAGAGCTGGGACACAAACCATTGCTCCAAAACTTATGCTTAGTCCAGCATACAAAGCTTCCAAAAATTGGGCAAACGCACATAGAATAACTGTCTTTTAAAAACCAATTGGGGCCCTCCCTGGTGGCGCAGCGGGTTAAAGCACAGCACTGAGAAGCTTAAGCCACTTCCGCATGAGTTCTATCCCTGCCTGCCCCGGAGGTGACCACTTGGCGCGGCAGACCTCTCCTGACCCGCCCGCTGCTCCCCTCAGCAGTGTACTTCGCCAGTCAGCCTGTTCTGCTCCCCACTGTCTCTGGTGAATCCTCTCACCGCACCTGCACCTCTGGCCTGTACCACCTCCTCCCCCCCCCCCAAAAAAAAAACCCTATGGGTAGAAACTGCTTTGTACTGAAGAAATGAGAGGAGGAAAAAATCTTTTCTGAACATTAGAAATCTCCATCTGGTGCCCCCTAACTGAAGACCTCCATTTGCATTAGATGAATTATTCCGAAAGCCTGTGAGTGATGGTGGAGCCCAGCAGTGACATGCTTGGGCTACACACAGCTAAACACATGCTCTGAGTTACTCTACGCAGGGGCTCACAACCTCAGCACACACCACAGCCTCTCTGGAGAACAAAGGTTGCCAGGCCTCACCCCAGAGTGTCTGACTCAGAGGTTGGGTTCTGGAAGGAACCTAGAATTTACACTCTAATATCCGTGGGAACGCTGATACTGCGGTCCTGGGGCCACACGCTGAGAACCACTGTTCTGGGGAGCAGGATCTCACCAGGAGGTTTTGTTCTGTGCTGAATGTGTGATTGTGTTGTGAAATATAGAACCGGAGATGAATTATTCAGGAAAGTAGAGGGGTTTGCAGAGGCGGGGGTAGGGATGTGGTGGACAGAGTTGCTGTGAGGCGGCTGTCAGCTGCTAGGGGAGGAATAAAGAGACTTATACCAACCATTTCAGTTTTACTGACATAATCCTCTTCTCTGAGACTCTGCATTGCTCAGAGGCCTTCCGGCAGGAAGGTGACAGAAAGTAACAAAACTATGGTAAACATCAAAGTGAGCTGGGTGGGTGCAGCCCCAAGAAGTCTTTCAGGGTGTTCTCTAAAACAAGGCTCCTGCTATTCCAAAGGCAAGAGCGGCAATCAGGTGCAGGGTGGGCAGGGTGCTGAGAGGGGGGCCCACAGGCTGACAAGACCCCAGTGAACCCCTGAGCGTTCCTTGTCTGGGCTCCCTCGGGCACTCTCATGGTCTCGCCTCTTCCTCTCGTAGCCGCCCTTCCAGCCCTGACTCCGGGCTCAGGTGTGCACACTGACACATGCGCACACGCCTCCCTGTGCCAGGTGTCCACAATCAGGCACGTGTGCCCTGCACCCACGCTCCGCAGCGCCTTCTGCATCAACACTATCACGGTCACAGGTGATGGCCACAGAGGTTAGTGGTGTAAAAAGCCAGAATTCATTTGCCTGACAGCTAGTTACACCACAAAGGAAAATAGAAACTAAGGTGAAGTTTGACATGGCAGCTTTTCTATCTAAAGCAAAAATGAGAAACGACCGGAGCTCTCAGGCACTGCTGGTAGAAATATAAATGACATACCGTGTGGTTAGACTCTGAGACCCAATTTCCGAAGGGTGGGTGCTGGGTCCTCCCCGGCCCAGTAGCATTTCTTGGACTTCAGCAGCGTATCCAAGAGTTTGACGCAAGCTGACACTCTCTTGGGTAGGTAGTGTCAGATTCCATAGATTAAAGCTCAAGCTCTCACATCCACGCTCCACTCAGACACCAGCCACGAGCCCTGCCCTTCTGACCAGCTGGCTACAGATCTCTCCAAAACCGTCTTCAGGCTTCAGGTGATGCAAGCCCCAGGTTATCATCGATGCTTCTGATCACCTGTTACCACTCAGAAGAAGGGCTCACAGGACCCAGGAAAACCATTTATTCACTCGATCACCAATCTTTTATAAGTTTTGTTGCATTTTTAATATTTGTAGATTTTTTTAAAGGTTTATTTACTTATTCATACAGAACTGGAGTACAGGCCAGAGATTCGGAGAGTGAGAGGATTCACCAGAGACAGAGTGGGGAGCAGAACAGGCAGATTGCCGAAGTACACTGCTGAGGGGAGCAGCAGGCGGGCCAGGAGAGGTCTGCCCCACCATGTGGTCGCCTCCGGGGCAGGCGGGGATTGAATTCATGTGGAAGTGGCTTAAGCTTCTTAGTGCTGTGCTTTAACCCTCTTGCCACCAGGGAGGGCCCTATTTGTAGATTTTTATAGTTTTCCATTTTTATTAATATATTTTCACATCATTGTTCACTTTCGTACAATGTTTGATTTCACCCCTCAGGGGTTGTCCCCATAAAATGACCACAGCAAGACACCCGTGGCCATCACCACAGACGTTTGTGTCCTTCCCTCCTGGCTTGTAGATCACCTACTCTTTCAGAAGGATAGATACAAGGCGACAGCCAGGGAAGCTGCACAGTGCCCGGTATGAGGAGAGGAACAGCTTCCACAGCCTCCCCAGACAAACTTCAATTTTCACAAGCTCATCAACCTAGAAGCTCTTTAAAGTCATTTCTCTTGGACTTGTCATAGAGGCTTCTTTACATAGGCATGAGTGATTAAATTATTGGCCATTGGCATTTGAACTCCACCTGTAGCCCCTCTCTGCCCTCTCGGGGAGCAGGACTGAAAGTCTGGCTATTCAACAGCAAGTTGGTTTCTCTGACTATCAGTCGTAGATGTTTTCCAAAAGTTACCTTCATTGACTTCATTACCTTTAAAGCACAAGAAAAGTCCAAGGGTTCTGTAACCAGGAGCTGGGATGAAGACCAAATATGTATAAGAAATATATTTTGGTGACCTGAATGACCAAATAGTATTTTCCATAAATCACACTATCACACACAGCCACATTAGAAAATCTGGCAGTTTTTTTAAAAATTAAACATTTAGCTATCAACCATATCACTCCTAAGTATTTATTTACCCAAGCGAAATGAAAATCTAGACACAAAGATTTATACAAGGGATGACTTTGCTTATAATAACCTTACACTGGAAACAACCCAAGTGTACATCAACATTACAGGGATACACAAACTGGCACACTTTTATAAGCAACTTCTATTTATCAACAAAAAGGAACAAACTATTGATAAACACAACAACATATATGAACCTCAAAAGGCCAAGATAAAAGATTTTATGATTCTGTTTATTTGAAACTTTAGAAAATTCTGGAAAACTAAACCATATTCTGGAAAGCAAATCAATGCTTGCTGAGGATGTTTTGGGCAAGAAGAGGGAAGGCTGGATTATCAAAAGGCACAAGGAAACTTTTGGGAGTGTGGATATGTCTATATGTTGACTGTGGTGATGGCATAGCTGTATGTCCGGCCTATCAGACTGTATGCCTTCATACATGGTTTATTGTAAATTCACTGAGCTTCAGTGAATTTAGTGAGCCTCTAAAGGAAAAAGAACCTTCTAAAGATCTTCCAGGCATTCAATCAGACTAGTATAATGTCTTGGAAATATGCAATAAGTAAATACACCAGGAGATCCAAGGTGTTCTTGTGACACATGCCAAGTTAAGAGATAAAACACAAAATGCCCTGAACCACACCTCTCACCTGCACCACTGAGGAGGGAGGAGGAAGCAAAGGCCCTGAGGGAACTCCACAGGGAGCACCATCCATAGCAAGTACTGGCTATTCTGTGGTCTCAGCGGGTGCTCTGGATGAATTGTGTCTCCCCAAAATTCATTTTTGAAGCCCTACCCACTCCCACACTGTGTTTGGTATTTGGAGATGGAGTCTCTGGGAGGTGATTAAGTTTAGATGAGGTCATTTAAGCATGGTCCTCGTGATGGCAGTAGTGACTTTATAAGAAGAGACAGAGGAGACTTGCATCTGCTGTGTGAGCACGCAGCAGAAGACAGCCTTTTGAAGTCAGGTATGTAATGTAATCACGCTGGCACTAGTTCTTGGACTTCCCGGCCTCCAGAACTGCGAGAAATGGTGTAAGCTAGCCAATCTCCAATATTTTATTACAGCAGCCTGAGCTGAGACAGACTGAGATTAAATCACAAATAGCTCTGCCATGACAAGAGCAAGAGGTTGGGAGGTATGCAGAGAAGGAATTCCAGAAGAGAAGGGAAAAGGACAGGGAATTCTTCTCACAGAATTGTATAAGTAGAGCTGTCTACCACATGTTGGGGAAAAAAATCTCAGCTGACATTTTGGGATGTTTAGTCTTAGTGATGAACTCAAAGAGCAATCCTGTCAGAACTTTCATTATGAAAATGCAGGGTGTGGAGAATAAAAACCTACACCTCTTCCAGTGACCAGGAGGAAACAGTTGTTGAAATCGAGTTTGTGATGGATGATCCAACTCTTAAAAGCCCCCACCAGAGGTACATTTCGAAGGATGATAGTTGAACAGTTTCTCCCTCACTTGACAGAACAAAAAGAGACCCTAAAGATTAAAAGAACACATGTTTGGCCCTCCCTGGTGGCGCAGCGGGTTAAAGCACATCACTGAGAATCGAAAGCCGCTTCCACATGAGTTC